AATGAGGAAAGTTGCTAATACAGCATCCTTCAAAATCAGAAGCCAAGAGAGTGTTTGAGACAGTCAAAACCTGGAATCGGGTGTGACATCCATCACTCTTGCTTCCGCTGTGAAAAGCAGCAGAGAGGAGCTGGGGCTAATGAAGACAGCTGTTGAGGATGAAATGGCATGGCCACTTACTTCTCCATGGGCACAGCCGGTGTCTCCAGGGGACCCTGCAGCCCCTGCCATAGGAGCTCAGCAGAAGCTTCGGCCCTTGCCACATACAGGCTCGCAGAAGCTCTGATGAAACAGGAAGGAGGTATTCGCTCTTCATCTAAGCCTCTCAGTGCTGCAAGGTCACCTGGGCACTGTTCAAACTGCAGTTTCTCAGGCTCCATGTGTCCATTTCCCAGACTGGGACCAGGGCCCTGAATTCCAAATAAGCTTCCCTGTGATTCTTCTGTCCACCAGGTAAGAAGCCATGAGTCTGCTGGGGTCATGATCTGGGAAACCCTTCCATCTGCCTAAAGTTTACTGCATGAGCTTGGCCACATCACTTACCTACCCTGCATTAGTGTCTTCAGATATCCAGTGATACGTTGAATGAATGTTTCTGCCCCACCAGCCTGGTCCCACAACTGCTTCAACTCCAAATAAGCACACAGATGCTATATTAATTATAAAATTGTTGGCCAGTGACTAGGGTTTCTTATTGACTAGTTCTGTCTTAATTATTAACCCATTTCTATTAATCTAAATATTTCCATGTGGTCTTATCTTACTGAAGAGGGGTCCAGATCTCTAACTCCTTTGGCAGCTCAATGGTGACTGCTAAGTGTCTCTGCAGAGAAGAGATCAAAAGATTTCCTGTTTGTCCCTGCTTATATCCTGATTCTGCCCAACTATATCTCTTCCTGTCTGTCTGTACAGACCTCCAGACCTCTATGGTTAGCTAGTGGCAAGTTCCTGCCCAGCTATGTCACTTCCTGTCTGCCCAATCAGCCAATCAGTGTTTTATTCATTAAGGAATAAGAGAAACATATATACAGAAGAACTTCCCCCATCAGTGATATTTGAATGCATTTATTGTTAAAAATTTCATTGTGAATTCATTTCACATAGTATCGTGATACATAATGACATTGCAAGAACATATTGCAAGAATGTATCATGGGTTGAACCTGCTCCTCCCACGTTCTCCACCTCTCTTTCTCCTACCTCCATCTCCCACTAGGCTCCTCTGTTCCCCTAACTAGTTTTACTTCTACTTTGCTGTCATATGTACATGCTGGGACCCATAAAGATGGCTCCACTTTATTTTGGTTCAAGGTCAGAGAATTCAAAACTGTCCTTAGTAAATCAGAAGACCTAAAAGTCCAAGGCATGGCTACAGTAGGAAGTTTGATCGTGGCCTTGGGTGTCTTATCTAAATAACAACAGACTTGGTCTGTAGTGTGACTACTCTTGACCCTCAAGGCCAGATAAGGAGAAGTTAAGTCCAAGGTCTGGTTACCACATCTTAGAGAATTAAGGAAGACAGCCTATTTATTCCTGTGTACATGATACCATGTTCCCCTTTTTGGTTGGGGTATTTTAGAATGTTGAAGAAGAAACTTGGAGTGTCCAGTTTCACTGAATTGCCCTCCTGACTCTATTCTGTGTCTGTCTTTCTCTTAACGTCTCTACCTGTCCTTTCTCAATCCACACTCCTCCTCTCAGGTACAAACCGAGCAAGTCGGCTGCATCCAACTGATGACCCACAAAGGAAGGTTCCCACATGTACACACATGGTTTTACATATATGTATACTACCTAAGAACCACCAGTGAGAAGAAATATACCGTAACATGGTCATTTCCAATTATACCCGTTCTCCTGCAAACAGTATAGCTTGGTCCTTCTTAATGGCTGAAAACCTCCCATAGTGCATCCACGCCACATTTTCTTTACCCATTCTGTTGTTGGACACCTAGGTTGGACCTGTAACTTGGCTGTTGAGAACAGAGCTGCAGTGAAGTGCATGTCTCTGTAATGTGTTGATTAACTCCTCGGGGAGATACCCAGGATTGGCAGAGCTTGGTCATGTGGTAGACCTACTTTTAGTTTTTTGAGAAAGCCCCATAGTGATTTCCATGGTGGCTGGACTAGTTTATATCCCAAGTAGTGGTGTGTAAGGGTTCCCTCAGGTCTGACAGTCCCTAGAATAATGCCAGTGTAGCCTTGTGGTGGCCCACAGGACATCTCTGTAGTGCTTTGTGTGTAGCAACAGGCAGTTTCACTGCATCTCAGCAGGCTGGATTTTCAGTAGTCTACAAACTCACAGCAGCAGGAAGGTATAAAAGAACCCTAGGAATGGATGACAGGGCCACCCAGGCAATGTCGGTGAGCATCTTCTGGGGCAGCTGGGAAATGCTGCTTCCTGATGACTCCTGGGACAGGGCCAGAGGCCTCAGCTTTTGAAGGGCCTTCTCCTGTGAACCCTCTGCCAGCTGGCGGAGTCTGGCATCTGCCATTGTTGGGAAGGAGGGAGTCACGGAGCCATGCCTGGGGAAGTTTGGCTCTGCCACTTTCTTATGGTGAGACCTTGGAAATGTTGGCATCAGAGAGCCTCAGTTTTCATCAAGAAACATCAGCAAACCTATTCATATATGTCATTTATATAAATGCCTGAAAATGCTAATTATTTATTCAGTATCTTCTAGTTATGGTGTCAGTTGGGATAATGTGTATAAAGTGGCAGCACAGTTGTGGTCCTAGAAAGGGTTTGGGTTATGCATCCCAATCACGGGGGTGGGGGGGTTGGGGGGTGGGAGGTGGGGGTGGGGAGGTCTTTGGGACTCACAGATACGACTGGTCATGTGATTTGGAGGCAACTCTGTAGGTAGGTGGCTGGGGGCAAGGTGTGTTTTCCAGGGGGCCATTGTACTGGTCTCAAGTTAGGGAAAGTAGAAAAAAGCTAAGAAACCCATATTTTTCACTATATGACACAGACAGGCACAGTGTGCCAACATCTGAACAGAGTGTCTGTCCCATTAACATTTCATGAAGAATCTATTAAGAATTACTGTTTGGACTAGAGAGATGACGCAGTCCATAAAGTTCTCCTAGCTAGCACAAGATGCTATTTTCTTAATATACTCACAAGACCACTGAGTTTGAGCCCTGTGAGAAGCATCTGGGTGTGGCACAGTCCAGCCATGGTGAGACAGGCAGATCCCCAGATCGCATTGTGCAGCTACCATAGAGCATTTCAAAGGCCTGGGTACCAGGGCAAGACCCTGTCTCAGAGACAGATCCCGAAGAACGAACGACACCTAATGTTGGCCTTTAGCCTACAAATTCAGGTTCACAAATGCATACACACACACACACACACACAGAGAGAGAGAGAGAGAGAGAGAGAGAGAGAGAGAGAGAGAGAAAGCACTTTTCGATGGTGCTTTGGAGATGTCCATCATAGCTCTGGATTGGGGCATAAGGCACACGGAGGCCATATGGGTTGAAGGCACTGCAGTCTACGGTTGAGAACCCTGAACTCACACGGAGTTTACTGTGACCACAGCCCTCAGCTTGTCGTGAGCTTTTGGGCACTAGTGAATCGGCTCTGGTGAAGGTGAGACCTCCCCTAACTGTGGGCCGCTCAGGTTCCCTACATTAAGGAGAAGGGAGGTAGAGGCAGTCTGCAGAGCTGTGTGACTTGGATAAGTCGCTTAACATCTCTGAGCTACTTAACCATTAAGTAGGGATAATAGTACCAAATTACAGCTTTGATGTGATTAAAGCAAGAAAAGCTTCTACAAGTGTGACTGGAATATGATAAGCCCTCAACAAACATTAGCTTTACTGCGCATGGTTATCCTGAGAAGAGAGGACACAGTTCTGAAATGCTTAGAGGAGTCCTGGCTCCCAGGAAGTGACAAATCTCACAGATCCAAAACTGTTTTCATTATAAAAACCCACGGAATAATATGCAGCCCCACCTCGCAGCCCCGCCCAGAGCCGTTACTGTGTCTGCATCGCAGCTCCCTTCCTGAGCCCCCTTCCACGGCTTCATCTAGTGTAACTGCCTACCGCCTCTCCGTGTCCCAGTTGTCTGGAATCCTGCTTGTCCCTGAGGGAATCCAACCGCGGTCCCTCCCTCAGCTCTCCTAGTGAAAGTCTGCCAATGGTTTGCCTGGTCTTTCACGGTCAAGGTCACTCTTTTACATGCCATGGCTCACGACCTGCCCCTGCCCACCCTCCTCTCTGCTGTGCCTGTCTCATGTACCCAATTCTCTCTCTCTCTCTCTCTCTCTCTCTCTCTCTCTCTCTCTCTCTCTCTCTCTCTCTCTCTCTCTCTCTCTCTCTCTCTCTCTCTCTCTCTCTCTGTGGGTGTGTGTGTGTCTCTCTCTCTGTGTGTGGGTGTCTCTCTCTCTCTCTCTCTCTCTCTCTCTGGCTTGCTCTCTGGCTCTCTCCCCAACCCCTCCCTTTAACCACTCCCCTCTAGCACCTCCCCCTCAGGTCCCTCCCCCAGCCCCTCCCCCAATCACTCACCCTCTGGCCCTCTCCTACCTCCCTGTCTTTACAGATGCTCTTCTCTGCCTCAGATGCCCTTGTCTGGCTGGCTGGAGTCTCAGGCTCCCAACACTGCCTGATGATGCCAGGGACTGATATTCGTGCACTTTCTCTACACTTCCCTTGAATTTTAAAACAAATATTTCCATTGATTTTGTGATCATTTTCATCTCCTAAAGGCTGTGAGTTCCTTAAAAACAGAGATAAAATAGCTTCATTGATCACCCTTGGTGCCAACTCACTATCTAGGAGCACTTAGTATATGCTCAGTAAATATTTGCTGGGTGAGTAAGTGAATAAATAAATAGGATGAATAGCTAATGTTTAATCAGTTGACTGCTCATGTGTTAGGAATTGAAATAGATGAACCTAGAATCCAGTGCATTTAGACCATTTTTAGTCATAAAAGATTAAAACCCCAAGTCTGCTTAGGTCAGTAAAAAAAAGCAATAAACCTGCATTACTAAGTTTTCTGTTACAGTAATGAGATGCCCGAGACAGGTTGCTTAGCAAGTAAACTTACAGTCCTGGAAGCCTAAGACTTTATGTCCCTTCTGAAGTGAGATGATGGAAAGCTATGGAGTCCTCTTTGTGGGCAGCAACAGTCATCTGAACCTCCCACCAGGCTAGCAAGTTGCTTGTTCTTCTGCTTGGGGATGGAAAACACTGGAATTCAGTTCAGCCTTATGAATGCTAAGCACAGACTGTAGCACTGAGCAAGGCATCAGGCCAGGGGTTCCCTTGCTATGATTTAGAAGAAAATCCTACTGATTTTAAGTTTCCTCTGCCTGGAAGAGGTCCACAGCACCTCCCAATGTCACTGTTCCAGGGATCAGGCTTTTACGCACTGGCCTTTGGGTGAGACTCAACATCTGCACGCTAAATACTAAAGTTGAGGAATGCATCAGTTTAAGCTAGACAGACCCAGGAGGTGACAGAACAAAATTACCATCCCCTTACCTCACTTTGCCACTCCCCCGATTCTGTCTCTGGTCCTGGGGTTTTCTTCTCAGCTCTCCATTCTTCCACAGGCTCTGTGGCCACCAAAGTTGGGCCTTCCCATCAACCACAGATGAGTTCTGATGCTGGTGAGTTCCCTCCATCACAACGTTTTGCAATAAATGGGGTGTCATAGTTGGCCAACCCTGAATCACATGTCTGCCTTGTGACCTGAGGACAGGAACAGCAATGTGGTTAGCAATCCAGAGACCCCAGGTGAGATGAGGGGGTATGATGACAAGGAAAGGAGAGACATGTGTCCCTTCCACTGGGTGCCCCTCCCCCATCACTCCACACAGCTCCTCCAGCCAATGGCGAGCAGAGGGAGCACACATTCTTATTTCTGAGTGCTTTATAGAGGTGGCTTAAAGGAACCTTGGACGTTGTATCTTTCCATCAAGTGTATTTGCTTAAAACTGTCTGGTTAGAATGTTTCAGCTTGGGTACAGGTGGCTAAATCACAGTAGTTTCATTGATTCTATTTGCTGCCCCTGGTCACACAGTATTAAATCTTTCTCTCCCACTAGATCACAATTTCCCACTAGATTCCGTAATTTCCTTGACACAACAGACAGGTAAGATTCCGTTCAGTCTAGTTTAAAACTACGATTCTGAATGCCCACTGCCAACTTCCCTACTGTTCCAACTCAGACAAACGGACGCCAAGCCCTTTTCTTCCTTTCCGGCACCCGGGTCCTGCAGAGGGGAAACGGGAGGAAGGAAGGCAGCATTCATGTCCCTGGCTTCCTTCTGGCTCCCTTTCTGGGTTTGGAGAATCAGGAAGGGGCGATGGTGACAGTTGTGTCCTTCTCTCCTCAAATTCGCAATGTAACCCTAAGCCCCAATGTGACACATTGGGAGTGGAGCCTTGGGTAGGTAATCATGACTGGGATTAGTGCTCTCATATGAAGGATGCCCAGGAAGTCTGCCTTGCCCTTAATGACATGGCTGTCTGTGAACCGGAAGCCGACTCTCACCAGACACTGACCGTCGCCAGCTCACCTGGCTCTTTGCAGGCTACGTTTCTGTTGTTTCAAAGCTACTCAGTCTATGGCACCACACACGCACACACACTCACACTTACTTCACAGTCCTTTCCCTTCCTAGTATTTTGGAGTAGTCTGGACAGTCCCTTAGCGTGTATCCACCCCAATCAGCTCTGCCACTAGGGACACTGAGCTGTAGGCAGATTCCCGGAAGGTGCTCTTTTCTCCTTCTCTTCAGTCAGGCACGTTCAGGGCCCAAATTTACCATCTTATGTTGTGGTCGTTCCGTGGTACCCCAGGATTCCATCTCTTCTGAGAGCAGCCCAGGCTTTGCCTCTAGGCTCTGCAGTTCCATAAGTACCCAGAGAGGGAGCTAGTGCCATGTTCTTGCAAGCACAGAACAGAGAAATTGAGGCGGGGTGGGGCTGGGGGTGGGGGTGGGGGCCTCTCCCACCCTCAATTGGCCCGGAAGACACTTCTTGGACTAGGGCCCATGAGCTCCTGAAGAGGAGAGAAGATGTCTTCAAGACACTCACAAGGTTGGATTATATTTGCCGTCACGATTGTGTTGACTTTGCTGAAACTGTAACAACCTAGCCTAGTGTGAATGAGAATTGTAGATAGATACCTTCGGGCCCTAGAAGAGTGAATTCTTTGACACTGTGCACTCCCCATCAGGAGAAATGAAAAATCTAGTCTCACTTAAGAAAATATTAAAGGAGCAAGCTTTATTAAATTTAGTGAGTCTCAATTCCAGCGATAGTTTTACAGTATTACTTGTGGCGACATGGCAGCACATGTGCGCATGCTCACTGCACACTGAAGATGCCTATCTTAAGGAAGGAGAGTCTCCCCGTGGCTGCAAGCTGGGTGAGCCAGGGCTTGCACAGAGCACCATTCCCACTTCCCGTGGGCACGCCCAGTCCTGCTTCATTCACCGGCGTACTTGGCACACACCAAACCCTGCTCCGTTCACCGGGGTACTTGGCACACACCAAACCCTGCTCCGTTCACAGGGGTACTTGCCATCGGGTTTCTCGACACGTGTACCAGGAACTGCCGCTTCCAAGGCACTGGGGAGACCCTTAATGGCGTTGTCGCCAACAATAAAAGTTAGTTTTCAAAGCAGTCACTGGAATTTTATAAAACCGCACCTGGAGTTATTATCCTGGAGTTTCCCATAGCCAAACACATTTCTAATGATGCTTTGGGTGGTGACAATGAGAGTCTTTTGGGGCTAGGATGATTAAATGTGTCAATTTGTAAAACCAATACATCCAAGAGAATTGATATTTCCAAAAGACAGATCAACGTATGATGTTACAAAATAAAATGAGTAAAAGATTCATTCTGCACACGAGATACTCCAAAGGATTTTAATGTAACAAAGAATAAATGCAAATGACACACGCAGATTCCGCATCATAGATAATCCTTAATTTTGCTATCATGCTTGTCAAGCATTGAAGGAGAATCTCCACAGCCTGGAAAAGGCCATGAAGAGTCTCTCCCTTCCAGGGAGTCAGAACATTCCGTCGTTGCTAAAGGATACAGCACAATCGTTCAAAAGCAGAGTGAGGCATGAAAACACAGCTGTTTACTACTGAATTACCCACTGTCTAGCAAAAACAGTGCTACTCAATTATATTTTAATTTTTGAAAAATGTGTATTTTTTCATGAAATGTTAAGTCAACAGAAAAATTGTTAGTAAGTAAATATTTTAAAGTTCTAAGTTTAATTTCCTTTTTAAACTTTTAGTGTGTGTGTGTGTGTGTGTGTGTATGCACACGTGTGAGCACAGCATGGTCAGAGGACAACTTGTGTTGTCAGTTTTCTTCTTCCGTCATATGGAATCTGAGGACAGACTCAGGCCATCAAGCTTGGTGGCAAGTTTCTGTGCCCACTAAGCCATCTTACAGACCCCTCTAATTTTAGTTGCTAATACTTTGAAAAAATATATATGTGTATATACATATATATCACATTATGTATGCATATATACATACACACACACACACACACACACACATATATATATATATACACACACATATCGCCAAAATCAAAAGTCTTTTGGAAATTTTCCATAACTTTTAAGACTAGAAGTGGGACTTGTGACTTAAGATTTGACCGTCATGTAGGGAGAGGGAGGGCTCAGCTCTATGCTGTGGGGGAAAGGCCTCTCCTGGTGCAGCAGACCGATCACCACAGCCCCTCCCTGTTCTAGGCTATGCCACTCCACAATGAAGCCCTGGGTGCGCATCTGGTTCTAGTGCTCTCTAGATGTCTGGGTGGAGGCTACTTTGGGTCATAGATATCCATTCAAGGAGCTAGGACGCTCCATCAAGTATCTTGTTAAATTATACCTAGTAGTTTGATAATTCCTGTACTTCTTAAAGAGTAATTTTCTCTCACAGTGCATACATGGCCTTACTGTAAAATATGTATTACCATGTATGACAGTGGGCAGAAGCAGGCAGGCAGGGTAGAATGTTGAAAAGAAGACAGACTTATGTTAATCTTGGCTTTCCTATTTACAGGGTAACTGGGCAAATTTCATGACCTGTATAATCACATTTTCTGTAGAATTTGGATAAAAACATGTGCTTTCACGCTCCTTATTATTTAAATCATGTCATATCTAACCAATGAAGTGGTCTTTCTTCTCCCCCTCCTTATGCATGACGTTAGGTGATTGGGAAAGTTGGAGTCCTTGACCAGTCCTTAGCCATCTCTGTTTTCTTTCTACAGACAAACAGGTCTTCTCTATGAGAGGAGAGCCTCAGGGGAAGATGAGCATCCAACATCTTCTCCATTCCATCCTGACAAGAGGAAGTGCCTCCTCCATGTCCAAAGGCTCCAAGGCTTACCTCTTCCTTACCTGATTCTTGATGTGAGTCAGGATGGAACCTCAAATCTCACCATTGGTACTATGTTTCAGTCACACTGGGGAAAGAAACAGCTGGCTAAGTTCTACGAAGTGAGATCTGCCAAATACAAAGCCATGGGGATCTGTAGAGACCTTCCCCTTGGGTGTACCAACTCCTTAAAGGTCAGGGATGGCAGGAGGGGTTACGGCATGTTGCGTGAAAATGTCTGCTTCCTCATGCTGCTACAATGGAGGCCTTGGGTCCTATTAACAGTGATGGGGGCAGGGTTATGAGGGGGGAGTGGGGGGGAAGGGGAGGAGGGGGGTGCCTCTCAGCAGCTGCTCAGTTACCTCCTGCTCATACTGTGCTCTGGGGCTTGGAACAGAAATCTGGAGGAATTTTAACCTTGATGGAGGACTCCATTCTTCCAAGTGGCTGCCTACATTTAGCCTTCCTATTCTGGATACTTCTCACACAGGGGTTTGCTGGCACAGTGTGTAGGAGGACATCATGGCATGGTTTTCTTGTAAAAACAAGGAAAGTGAAAAGAGATAGTGAAGATGCCGAGAAATGAGAAGCTCTGGCAATGATATGGATTAGTTGGGGACAGGAATATCAATATTGACGTCTTTTGGTGGGAGGGGTAGCTTGTGCAAGGAGCTTGATTAAAAATTACTTGACTGGAAGTAACAGATATCAATCAAGTAAAATATGTATTTACTTAATATGAGGCAGACACTATACCTCATGGGTCTCAAACACATAAAGAACCCCTGAGAAGAAAGAGGACATTAAATTCAGTTTGCTTGCTTTAAATTCTCAACATGCTGTGTATACTATATAATCTTGAACAAACCACTTGCCTCCCAAGTTATCATTTTTATTCCCCATAAAGGATAGAAAGTAAGAGAATTTAGATTTCAGGATTATTGCTATTTAAATGAGTAGCTTTATGCAGATTATTTAGAGAAGCACTTAACATATTCATGTCCATTGCAGATGCTAGTCATTCAGTATTTGTGCAATCGCCATCTAATATCAGATCAACTCTCCTGCCAGGGTCAACTAGAAAAGCTGGATGAAACGACACCTCAGGGAACTACTGAGGCCATGAAGGCTTAAGAGCCCAAGATCTCAGGAGGAAGGGAGGCAAGGAGTGAGGAGCCTGACCACCCTCTCCCCATAAGCATGCCCTGGCAGACAAGCAAGCCTTGGGATCCCAGAACGCTAACAGAAAAGATGGTCAGATAAAAACCTGAACATTACTTCCAGGACTCACAAAGCTGCAGAGAGCAGCAGGAGTAAGGGGCTGCCACAGGAAGGGAGCTCCCCTTGCTGTCTGAACTAGTCTGAGCTGCACTGTGAGACCCTGTCTCAAAAACAAAGTTCAGAAAGACGGCTTAGCTACGAGTCCTTTTGTCTTCATAAAGACCAAAGCCTGGTTTTCAGTCCAGTCCATCTCCAATTTAACAAGTTAGTCAATCTGCCTTTACCTGGTTATGTAACTTCTGGAGGAAGCCTGAACTGTCCAGAGTTTTGCACACAGCTGATAATCCATCAATAGTTACCAGATTTACCTGGGGTCAGGAAAAAATGCCCAAAACCCCTTAGAAAAGGAAACCCAGACGATATGAAGATAATTAAGATAATGGGGTCAATACAGACTTAAAATAATTGTCATAAATATGTTCATGACAGGTAATAGCTCTTTAGCTTAGAAGAAGAAACTATTAAAGACAAGCAAATAGGGCTGGAGAAAGGATTCAACAGGTAAGAGTATTTGCTGTGCAAGCACAGAGACTTGAGTTCGGATCCCCAGCACTCATGGAAAGAGCTAGGCATAGTTTCACACATGTGTGAGCCCTGTAGGACACTGTAGGGCACAGAGGCAGGAGGATACCTGGCAGGCTTCCTCCAGGTTGAGTGAGAAACCTTTTGTCACAGGAATAAGGCAGAGAATTCTAGAGTGGGACACCTGACATCCTTCTCAGGCATGGGCATGGGCACCCACACTCTCACACATGCATGTGTGCCCACCTCCGCACTCACACACATGCATGTGTGCACACCTCCACACTCACACACATGCATGTGTGCACACCCCCACACTCTCACACATGCATGTGTGCACACCCCCGCACTCACACATGCATGTGTGCACACCTCCACACTCACACACATGCATGTGTGCACACCTCCACACTCACACACATGCATGTGTGCACACCTCCACACTCACACACATGCATGTGTGCACACTTCCACACTCTCACACATGCATGTGTGCACACCTCCACACTCTCACACACATGTGCACACCCCCACACTCTCACACATGCATGTGTGCACACCTCCACACTCTCACACATGCATGTGTGCACACCCCCACACTCACACACATGCATGTGTCCACACCTCCACACTCTCACATATGCATGGGTGCACACCCCCACACTCACACATGTGCATGTGTGCACACCTCCACACTCTCACACATGCATGTGTGCACACCTCCACACTTTCACACATGCATGTGTGCACACCTCCACACTCACACACACATATGCACACCCCCACACTCACACATGCATGTGTGCACACCTCCACACTCTCACACATGCATGTGTGCACACCTCCCCACTCTCACACACATGTGCACACCCCCACAAACACATAAAATTTTAAGTCAGCGAGTGAAGGTTCTAGAATTTAAAACAGCTGGAAGTCTTTATTTTCAATATGTAGAGTTATTCTCAGATTATAAAGATCTGAAAGGGAGTCAATGAGTTGAAGAATTTGTCAGGAAAAATGTGTAAACTGGAGCATGAAGACATTAAAATTATAAACGAGGAAAGGAACCAATAAGAGATTTTGGAAAGAGAAAGACTGAACAGAGGCTTGGAGTCCCAGAAGAACAAGACAGATAAAGAAGGAAAGCAATGTATAGAGAAAAAGTGGTGATTTCCTCCAAACTGATAAAAGATACTGCAATACCAGCTCAATCTTTGTTAGCTGCACGAAACAATTAGAAAGGGAATCTCACATAGGCAATCATGGTAAGGGCTGCTCAGGGTCTGAGACCAGTGTTTCCTCTTAAAAGCAACCAGAGAGGAAGAGACAAAGTAGCAATCATTGGACAGAGGACTTCTAAGAACAAAACAAGCAAACAAAAAGGGGCACTCTGGAAGGGAAGACGAAGGGAAGACCATAGCTAGTCCCTAGTTGTTATACCCTGTCAGAAAATATTACAGACAAAAAAACCAAAGAATTCCTTATCACCAGGACAATCTTGTTAAAAACAAATCATATGTAACTACATGTAAATGTATAAGGCTCCCTGGGCAGAAGACACGTGGTACAATGTGGAAACATGGAACAGAACAAAAACAAATGGAAAACAAAAATGTGGGTATACTGAGTGTTCAAGATAACAATATATTCTAAACCATCTTTGGCAAATAGTCATTGAACATAGTAATTCCTTGTTTTGTTTTTTGACACAGGGTTTCTCTGTGTAGCCCTGATTGTCCTAGAACTCTCTCTGTAAGCCAGGCTGACCTCAAACTCACGGACACCCACCTGGCTCTGCCTCCCAATGGCTGGGATTAAAAGTGTGTGCCTCAACCACCGGCCATAAGGAAGATTTTCAAGGGACATTTTATACAAGCATAGCATATACTTTGACCAAGTCCACCCCACTTTCCCCTTCTCCCTGTCCCCATTATTCCGTCGTGTTCCCAGACAATCAAACTTCTGTTTCCATGCCACGTATATACACAATTTTATGTATTCATAGAAATGGAATCTACAAAGCAATTAAAATGTGATTTTTGTCTTTGTATATGATGTAATTCTCTTAATATGAGTTCCAGTAAAACAATAATACAGTTTCAAACTTTCAATTGTACGGAATCATTGCACATAGCACTGTTACATAAGGATATTTCCATACTTGCAGGTCCCCTGAGCTCATTGGCCAGCCAGTCCAGATGAATTGAGGGGCTTCAAGTTCAATGAGAGACCCTGTCCCCAAATACAGTAGAAATCAGTGGAGGCAGATGCTCAGTGTTGCTCTCTGGCCTTCACAATCACATGTACACACAGATCCACATTTCCAAACACACACACACATGCAGAAAAGCTGGCAATAAAAGGAAATGCTTCAGAATGATAATGGGCTGGTCCACAATAAATTATAAATAAGTTTGTATAGACTGTTAACAAACACCTCAGATGCAGAAGGCAGCGACAGAATTAAATAGAACAGGCAAATCCATAAGCATGGCTGGGGATTTTAACATTGCTTTCTCAGTCACCATTAGTACAAAGGTAGAGAAGTCAGCATGATTATAAAGTGGCCTAGTTAATATATATAGAATGTTAGACCTGACAACCACAGTGAAAACTCTTTCTGAGTGCAGCCTCTGCAAGTTTCAAAGGCTGGACATAAAGGACTGTGCTCTCTGTCACAGAGAAATTCAGCTGGACATAAATAACAATGGTCAGGAGGGACATATCTAAGTATCTGGAAATTAAGCAATATGCTTCCAAATAATCAAAAGTAAATCTGACAATTTTCAGAATGGAATATTTGTGAAAACAAATGTACCCAACTTGTGGGCTACAGGGGAAGGGGGTTAGATGCTTATATTGGAAACAAACAAACAAAGCCCAAACTCAATTACCCAATTGTTTGCTATGTTTTGATTAGGTCACAGGAGATCATGAACAGACTAATGGCATTCATCATAGGAGTTACATATGAAGACAGTCAGTTGTTATAAAGGTAGGCTCAGGGGCTGGGGAGATGGTTCAGTGGTTAAATACGCACACTGCTCTTGCAGAGGACCTGAGTTCAGTTCTCAGCACCCATGTCAGGGAAGGCTCGGCTGACAACCTCTTATAATTCCAGTTCCAGACAATCTGTCTCCCTCTTCTGGTCCCCATAGGCACTGCACTCATGTGTACAAACCCTCCATCCCTCTCACACACAATTAAAACTATAATAAAGTCCCTAAAATAAAGGCAAATTTAGTATCTCTCTCGTGTTCTTGTTACAAGCATCCATCCATCCATCCTGTTACAATAAAGCAAGAAGGCTCTCACCTGATGCCAGCACCTTGACCTTGGATTCCCAGGCTCAGAACTATGAGATATCAATTTCTTTTCTTCAGTAGCTCACAAGGCTGCAAGATTCTGTCACAGATGCAGAAAACAGATGAATAACATTATTAAGTAGGAAAATACTCCAGTCAAGCCCATAGAAGATAAAATGAGAAAAGGTACCAATATACGAACAGAAATAAAAAGCAAATGTACAATGAAGAAGGTCATCTTTCTCAAAAGGCAGAAACTCATTGCAAAAAAGGTAAAAGGAAAGAAAAAGTCAAAAGTGCTCAGTTTTTATTAACAAAAGAGATTCTTATAGATTCTATGGGTTTATTGTAATCAAAGAATGCTATAAGCAAGCTATTGATACTTAGAAAAAATGGGCAGATTCCTTGGGAAACAAGTTTAACAGAGTCGACACACATGGAAAGCATGAGTCTGTACAATATGTGTAATGAATAATTTAAAGTCTTCCCACACAACCCAGTTTTTGTAGCATCTAAAGCTAAATGTGCCCTTATTCCCATAATCTTACATCTGTAGATATATACTCAACATAAATGAGTTTATATAAACATGAAAAAGCCACTTAGAAATTGTCATGGCATCATCATTTTTAGCAGTTTCAATAAAAGTAACCCATATGTCCATCAAAGACCAGAAGAAATAAGTGAAAATAGGTGTGGTGGTTAACCTTAGCTGCCAACTTGATTGGATCCAGAATCAACTAAAACTCAAAGGTGGTGGGCATACCTGTGAGGGATTTTCTTGATCAGACTATTTGAAGTGGAAAGACCCAGCCCAAATGTGGACAGCACACTCCTGTGGCAGCACCGATGAAAGGACATGGAAGTGTGCTTTTCTCCAAAGATTCTGCTGCTGTGGCACTCCTTTGATGATATTAGAATGAGCTTCCTCAAGCTTCCAATACAGATGAGCAGCTCTCTGGGAATCTTGCAGGCCTTCAGTGCCAGACTGAGACTCCTGAGACATCCAGCCCATGGACCAAGCAGCTACTAGATTCTCCACCTCTCCAGTGTAAGACAGTCATTGTTGAACAACCTGAACCATACCATGTAACCAGTTTAATAAGTCCTCCATAGACACGCATACCATACATGCATATATGTATATGTAGTCATTCATTAGTGCTATTCCTTTAAAGAATATATACGTATGTACACACACATATATATTATATATACATATACATATATAAATATATACTTATTCAGCGGAATACTATATAATGGTGAAAATAAATGAACCCTTTCTGCACGTGACATGGGTGAGTATCATAAATATGCTATTTGGGGAAAGATGTCATGTACAAAAGCATGTGTTTGCTGTGATTGTAATTACAGAAAACCCAATGAAGAAGAAATAAAATAGAATATTGGTTACCCCTGGGAAGGGTTGAGGGGAAAGCTATTGAAAAGGGACTGAGGCGATGCTTACATTCCACTTCACATCCCAGTTAGTACATGGCTGTGTGCATCTGTGTTCGCACACTTCTGTGGATATGTGCTATCCTTTGGTGAGAACCCACACTATGTATCAGCAAGAGTTTTATTTGGGGCCTGGGGAGATTGCTCTGTGTGGGAGAGCACCTTCTGTATAAGCATGACCTTAGTTTGGAACCCCAGACTCCATGTAAAAAGAAAGGCATGATGGCGTGTGCCTGTAGCTCTAGTGCTGTGAAGATGCAGACAGGAGACTCTCTGGATGCCAGCCTCACATCAGGTTCAGTGGGAGACCCTATGTCATGGGAATAAGGTGGAGAGTGGTGGACCAGAAGGCTCAATATCCTACTCTGGCTCCTGTGCCTGCACACAGGAATGCACACCAATACATATATGTGCACATGCTATACACACATATATACATGTATGTGCACACACACAAGCACACATGTACACATGCACATGAGTTTTATTTCTTAAAGCTACCGTCCTTATCGCCATCGTTATCATAAGGAACTAGGGAAGGAAACCCAGGCAGCCCGGGTCAGGTCTCACTGTGATCCCTTCCTAAGAACGGCCTTAGCAGTTGTGGGAACTTGAATAAGTATCCAGTCAGAGACCCAGAGACCATTTATACAAACTCATAAGCGTTATAAACTAGGCTCAGAAACTGTAAACTAAAAATATGTTGTATCCATCTCTTCTAAAAACTATGTCTCTATGATTATAAAAATGCGGTGCCCTGAAAAGCCAGCTTTAAATTTAGATCTCTCCATTTTGGAGCAGGAAAATGACCACCTGGAGAGAGATAGTTTCAGTCCCTAGCACACAGCTGGCCCATCTCTTTTCCCAGGCACCTCTCTGTAGGGCTCCCCCACAATCACATGAATATGACAGCCCAAAAAAGAACCTTCTACATGTCCTCAGAGCACAACTCTCTTGTGACCACTCATGGGGCCAAGGACATTTCAGCTAGTAGTGTGGCCCATGTTCACGTTGCAAACACCCTGGGGACATTTGAGCAGGGAATGCTGAGTCACAGATAGGAAGGGCCTGGTTTGGAAGAGGGGAGGCAAATGCTAGAAGGACATTTGCAGCTTCTTGGGCCCCATTGTTGCCGGTAGAGGGGAACAGGCGGAGGAGGGAGGGTAGCGCCCTCTAAAACAGTGGTTCTCAACCTTTTTAATGCTGTGACTCTTTAATGAAGTTCCTCATGTTGCGGTGACCTCAACCATAAAGCAATTTTCATTGCTACTTCTTAATTGTAATTTGCTACTGTGACCCCTGTGGAAGGGTTGTTCAGCTAACAACGGTGTCACGACACACAGGCTGGGAACTATTGTTTTTAGGGAATATACAAAGGGCAGAGATTTTTGCAAATTTCAAGAAAAAGACTGATTTTTTTAAAGTCATCTGTGGGGTTAGAGAGATGGCTCAGAAGGTGAAGCTCTTACTGTGCAGACATGAGGACCTGGGTTTGCATTCCCTGTGCAGACGTGAAGACCTGGGTTCAGATTCCCCATGCAGATGTGAGGACCTGGGTTCAGATTCCCTGTGCAAGCATGAGGACCTGGGTTTGCATTCCCTGTGCAGACGTGAGGACCTGGGTTCAGATTCCCTGTGCAAGCATGAGGACCCCGGTTCAGATTCCCTGTGCAGACATGAGGACCCGTGTTCAGATTCCCTGTGCAGATGTGAGGACCTGGGTGGGTTTAGATTCCCAGCAGCCATGTAAAGGCATGGTGCAGAGGTGGATCTGTAACCACAGTACTTGGAGACAGAGACAAGTGGATCCCAGGGGCTCACAAGCTAGTCAGGTTAGCCAAAGCTCCAGGTTCAGTAAAAGACTTGGTCTAAAAAGCAAAAACAAAAACAAAAATGGATTTGGAATGTGGCTCATGCCTTTAGTCCCCACACTCCGGAGGCAGGGGCAACCAGGTATCTGTGACTCTGAAGCCAGCCTTGCTCTATGTAGTGAGTTCTAGGTCAGCTGAGGCCTTTAGTGACATCATTTAAAATAACAGAAACAAAAATGATGGAGAATGACAGAGAAAAACACCTCACATAAATCTCTGGCCTCCACATGTGCATACTTACACAAGTGCACAGGCCCGTGAGTGTGCATACATACACATGCATGCACTCACACAAAGTCACATGTATAGGAACACACACACACATACATGGAGCTAACTGTACTTGCAATGTTAGAGATACAGAAATAGGGAAATAGAGGCAGAGACAAAGAGCTTTTAAAATAAAATAGGAAGACTCCACTCAGTGAGTGCATGCCCTGTCCACACGTGAGGTGAGAATATACACATGAGGTGAGAATGAACTAGGAAGACTCCACTCAGTGAGCGCATGCCCTGTCCACACATGAGGTGAGAATATACACATGAGGTGAGAATGAACTAGGAAGACTCCACTCAGTGAGCGCATGCCCTGTCCACACATGAGGTGAGAATATACACGTGAGGTGAGAATGAACTAGGAAGACTCCACTCAGTGAGCGCATGCCCTGTCCACGTGAGCTGAGAGAGACGAGCCCCCACCCACCAGGATGTGGAAGCACACGTAGGAATTAGATTGCTTTGCTCATCACCTTATCCCAGAGTCTAGTACCGAATCTGGGTAACAAGAGACTCCAGGGCTCCCTGGGACGTTACCAGATGCTGTGGGCTCTCCCTGCAGGAGCACCTTGCTTGCGCTGTGTTTAAAAACACAGTGCGGGTGTTCAGAGCAAGAGTATGAACAGAGTGAAGCCTGCCCACCCAGAGCGCCTCTCTCAGAGTAGAGAGCTCAGGATGACAGAACCGAAGGCTGCAGGGACCCCATGTCAAGGTCCCAGAGGCTCCAATGCCCTCGCCCCAGGAGCTGAATACACAGGTAAAGGCAACAATTAGCTGTCTGGAAAGCTTCTGAGAACGTCATAACCATTTCAAAGGTGTCCACGACCCCCAGAATACTCCTTGGCATGCCCCTGTCTCTAACAAATGCAGAGATGTGGCTGTAACTCAAGGTCATTCTGAACTCTGCTCCGTCCCCCTAGCTCAGGAAGCCGTTTCTGCCTACTTCATTGTAGAATTCACGTCTTCAGGCAGAGTGGGAATTCACTAACCACTCCTGGCAAAGGCTGACAAGCAGCCACATGTTCCTGTAGAGTCCTTTGGGTTTCCGTGGGGAAGGTGATTCTAGCACACAGCCAGGGCTGGAAACCACTGGCTCCAATATTTCACCAGGGAGTGTGTTGGAGACGGCAATGGAGGCTTGATGAGTTGCCAGCTCCAAAATTCTGAGTTCTAGAATATGTATCATGGCAACCAACTCAAGCAGAGAACACAGGTCACCTCATTACCACTGATCTAAATTGGGGCCTTTCTAATAAGCAGGCTGACCACCAGACTACGACTGGTCTGGGACTCCCAGTAAGTCTCTTCTATTTTTCTTCCCTCAAAGATAGCACAGCTTGCACAACATAGCCTGTTAGTGTGGCTCATGCGCTTACAGAGGGAGGGGAGGATGGCAGGGCCAGCAGAGCGAGGCTGTCACACGTCTGCACACAGGCTGCATGTTATCATGTGTTAGCAACAGTACAGAAGAGTGGAGGGAGAAACGGCCCGACGTAGATCCAAGGCCCAGGGGGTGACCAGGGCAGGCTGGGAAAGCTCCAGTCTTCTGCAGAAAGATGAAGCAGTCACGGCTATGGTAACCACGCTCTTTAACAAACTGTGGCTGTGGCATAATCAATCACTCAGGTTCATCATATCAGCAGTTACTTTCCCGTTAGGGGAGGGTTAGGGAGAGAGGCCATTATAGAGGAAGAGAGTGGTGTGGGGAGCAGATGAGCACGTGACTGGACAGCAAAGAGACTTTCCCAGCGTGCACTGAGACTTAGGGCTGGTCTGGGGGGGGCACGGGTAGTGTTCGTGGGGTAACATCACACACAAGTGAATAAATGTGTCATTTAGCTGGGTCCTGAAGGAAGAACGGAAATTTCCAAATGTGTGGGCAGAGGGAAATGAATTTTCACAATACTATGGTCAAAGAAGCCCAAGAAAAGGGAATTTGAAGGACCGCAGCGGTTGAGTGACAGGAACGTAAATAGCATGCAGAAGGCGGATTCGCAACAAAAGGAGGAGGCACAGCAATTAGTCGATGAATATTGCTTAGGGTCACTGAATTATTTAGCTGATTTTGAAACAGAAAATTCGGGGGTGGGGTATATGATTTGTTCATCCAGACTATGTATTGATTATAATCTCCATTGGCCTTAGACCTACAACCGCTGGATTTAGCCTCCTAAGCATCATGCACACACCCAGCTTCAAGTTTATTTGAAGTATTAATTGCCATAGATTGGAAAAATTCGATGAATTTTGATGTTTCCTTTTTCACTAGACTCGGAAGACATACTGTTTCTTTGAATTTGGCTCAATAAGAGCAACAAATACAATGTCTGATTTCTTTTGTTGAGTTTTTTGAGCTGGGATCTCATGTATCCAAGGCTGACCCAGAATTTGCTATTTAGTAACTGCGGCTGACCTTGAACTCCCAACCCTTCCATCTCCCTCCCTGATGCTGGGATCACAGATGTGTGCTCCTGGCATGAGTGTTGAGAACCTGAACCCAGGTCTGCAGGTGAGCACGCTCCCGACTGAGCCGTGTTTCCATCCTCCACTCTACCAGCTTCTTACAAATTCCCAAGTTGAAAATTTTATTCAGGATAACCAAAAAAAATTTTGCAAAAATGTGAATTTATGGGAGTTTCCAAACAAGCCATACAAAATAATAACAAGTTTTATTTACCTTCCTTTTTGAAGGTGGGAAATCTGCAGAGAGTGAATTGACAATGTTACTAGTAAGGTGTTTATTTAATGTTCCCATTGTGGGTCAGACAATCAAGCTTCTTTATCTACAGTGACTAAAGTTAGACTTGGTTAAAGTGCTCGTTCTAAAGACTTAGCTGGTTTAACCATTGCAGCTACATCCCATTGAAAGGGAGGGAGAGAAGAAGACTATAATACTAAAATAAAGTTATTTTCCCTCTAAAAATAAAATAAGATAAAAGCATCCACGCCTCAGCAGCTAAGCCTGACAAACACCTGTGTTCACAGCGCTGTGTACTTGAACCATGACGGGGAAAAAAACAAAGCAGACAGCCACTACCCGTAAACGCTCCACAGCAGCCCCGACGATGCTTCTGGCCTCTGCCCAATGTTGCACAGCAGTGAATCAAGACAAGACATCAATTTGCTAATGTGCACGTAATCACCAAGGATGAAGATGCCTGGGCTTGCATTCTGAAGTGTTTCTAAAATTGTTCATTAAATACAAGCAAGAGGAGGAAAGCCACGGCAGAACAGAAGTGGGGGACACTTGATGGTCTGGTCTGATCAACTTCAATACTCGTGACTTAAAGCCTCTTCCGGGTTCTCGCCGTTTCTATGGCTTGGACTTCGTCTGTCTTCCAGTGCTGGGCTTCATCATTTGCTAACGGATCATCTGGATTAGGAGCACTTAACAAAGCCTGGACTGATAGCAGAATTGTGCGGATCTGCAGTACTGGGGACCACTTATCTGTGAAGGTAACAGGCCCAGCATGATTTGATAAAGCATGAAAAACAGGCCCAGAATGGTTGAACTTCCCTCCTACATAATCCGGCGGTGTTGACGCGAGGGGAGATTACAATGTTTACATTCTGAACATGGAAAACTTAAGGCAGACAGGACAGGTAAATACAGCACAGGGTGACAATACCTACTTTCAAATTATCGAAGCATATTTTTCCTAACTTGTCTGCATTAGGATGAGAGACTTGAGTCGTTAAATGTGCTGTAGGTGCTGCCTTTGGGTATTCTTCTGGAAGGAATAGTTCAAGTTTAAAAGTCCCTCCCTCAAAGGGGGAGTCCTGGAGGCCAGGTGCAAATAACGGGAGCTGCTCTGATGGTTCTGCTTAGAACCAGGGCCTGATCTCTCCACTGAACTCTGCGTCCTTGGTGACCCTGCGGTGCAGCCACCTCTCCAGATCCCCTGTTTTTGTCTCAGGCTCTCCTCGCCTCACACAGCAGTCAACTTGGGTATTTTCAGTGAACTATCTAGGCCTGCCCCTCCCCAAGGGAAACTCAAAATAACTAGATGTTGTTAAGTCAGCCAAAGAACGTTGCTCAGAACTCAAAGGATCTTGTGCAGGCTACAGGGACATGTTCTTGGGGTTAGCTGGATTCTGACACTGACAAAGGTTCTCAGGAAGGTTTGATGTGACCTGTGAGGCCTGAGAACCCAACAGTCTTGGTTTGAGTGGCAGCTCGGGTACCGCTGGCTGCTGGCATAGGCCACATTGTCTCTCTAAGCTTTGCCTTCATGTTAATGATGGGAAAATAATATCTAACACATTGAATTGTGAGGTTCTCATAAAAAATGTTTGCGAGTAGGTGTTGGAGAGATGGCTCAGCAGCCGAGGGCACTGGTTTCTCTTCCAGAGGACCAGGTTTGCTTTCCAGTATGCACGTGGCGGCTCACAACCTTCTGTAGCTACAGTTGCAGGGGGTCTGATGCCTTCCAGCCTCCATGGATACTGCACCAGTGTGATACACATGCACACACAGCACACTCACCCACATGAAATTAAAACAGTAAGTCTTTTTAAAAAAGAATTGCTAAGGAAAATGTCTGAGTGGACTGTCCTGGGCAAGTCGTTGTCATTGCCAGGAACAGGAAGAGGCACTTATACTCATGAAGCTGAAATGGAGGAACAGGAAAGGCTAGGCAGAGTCCTCAGACAGGGAGAAGGAACTGGCTCTCTGGAACCCAGGTACACGCCTGTCCCGCGCTACCGTCTCGCCAGCAAGAACGACGCAGGACACTCGGATCCTTCTGCAGTAAAGCTTTAATACATCTTGAGAGATAGATGATCAGCTTCTGAGAGGGAGACCCCAAGCTAAGAAACCCAGCCCCTTATATAAGCCTAGGAGCTCCGAGTGAGACGTGTAGAGCCGGGATTGGTGGTTTGCTCATCACCCCAGATGACGGGTGAGGCACAGCTTAAACGGTAAACTCCAACTGACAGCAGATGTCAGCGCCATCTTCTAATGGCGATAGCGATAGCGAGGGCGGCTCCTCACATCTCCCCCTATTCATTTATTTTTGAAGCCATAGGACACCCACAACTTTGGAGTGGAGATAGAGGTCAAATCCCCATGTGCAAATTTGGAACATGTACAAAGCTCCTCTCCAGGGTCTTATCCCCAGAGGGAGCCCTGACCAGTCCCGATGTCGTTTTTCTGGGGGAAGGAGATCATGACATAGAACCTTCATGCAAGATGACTTATCTCCCAGGAGAAAGTCGTTATACCGCAGACCTCTCCTGTGCAGTGCTTAGCCTTGCAACTCCTTGGGCTGCTGAAGCCTACCCACTCTATCCCGTGCAATGAGACTAGCCTCGTGGGGTGCAAGAGCCGGGAGGCCAGCGACCTATTGCTTTAACATGGTTAACCAAATGTCAGGGGAGGCTCCGTGTTCTAAGGCAGCAAGTGCTTGTGCCACCATCACTTTGTCTCTTTTGTTTGGGCTCTGAGCTTACACACCATCCAAAGCATCAACACTATTCCACAGCAGAGAACTAGGCTAAATGATCCCACCCCCACCCATTCCTTAAAATAAGAAAATGCAGATGAAATCCAGGAGGAGAGGCCTTCCATCAGAGAAAGATCCAGACGCGTGGAATTCACTTGCAGGATCGCCACTCTCAACTCACGGAGTGTCTGCTCAAACTCAAAAGTCCAATTCTGTAATAAATGTTGAGACAGAGCTTTTGACAGGTTAGCTGCTCTTGTAAAATTCTCATATTGTACTGAAGTGAACACAAAGGCCAGGCAACTTTTGTTCACATCCCAATTGGGCCATCTGCCACAATATATCCAATTGTTCCTGAACCAAATTAATCTGTTGGTTTACCAACATCAGGCCTCCTTGTATCTGAGAATTGGCAGTGGCCTGTTTATCTAGGGCCATGGTCACAGTGGCTGATAGTTCATTAATGGTTTGAGTTGTCTGCACAGTGGCGGAAAGTGCAAGGGCCGAGGCGGTAACCGAAGCAGTAACCGCGGCGGCAGCTATCAGGCCCACAATAATAGCAGAGATCCCAAAAATCTCGCTTTTCCCTAAACAAACTCAAACTACTTGGCACCTCAACAGGAACTGGAACAAATCGAGGCATGCGCATTACCAAAGCAAAAGGGTGCTTAATAGCATCC